TCACAAAAAAAATATCAATTTTATTTTCCATTCAATAGACCCTAAAATCCCAAAAATCTCTAAAATCCCCAAAATTGACCTTCATATTTTTGTTTTTGTTTTAAAATTTGTTCATTTATTTTATGCAATCAATAATCTCACACAAATATTGTGTATATATATTCTCATATTCATTACAAAAAATATATTTTTATAAATATATATATTTTATAATATTAAAAACAAAAAAAACCCTAAATTCCTAGAGCTCCAAATTTTTTTTTTTTGTTGTTAAAAAATCGTTCTTTTATTTATTGCAATAAATAATACAAGTCAAATATTGTCTGAAAAATCCTAAAAAAGCTTTAAAATTAAGAAAAAAAATTTAAAAAATTGGGTTCGGGCTTACCTTATCTGCTTTAATCTCAAAATCGAGCCCAAAATCTCTCCATTTCAATAAAATCGAGAGTCTTGAAATATATGTATCCCTGTGATCATTAAAATCTCCAACTTTTATAAAAAGAAAAGTGAAAAACCAAGTCAAAATCAAATGAATGACAAATTTTTAATAAAAAACTGAAGAACACCAAAAAACGCACCAAATATTCACCAAAATTGATCGAATCGTGAAGTTTTTTATTCAATATTGATGGACTTATAGAAGATTTCAAGGTATAGTACAATAATTGAGCCAAAAAAAATAAAAAATGGCAGGAAAAAGCATAAAAAAGCTGCAAAAAATAGCGGATCACGGGTTCTGCCCAAATAAACGGCACTGTTACAAATAACGGCCGTTATTTTTTGTGGCGCCGTTATTTTGTCATATCACTCAATATAACGCCAAATCGGACCGGTTCTTACAAAACCGGCCGGTTTTGTCAAAAATTCACTTGTTCGAGGCCAAACCGGCCGGTTTTTTAGTCAATTTTTTTCATGACGGTGTGTTTTTTTACTAATACACTAAAACCGGACCTAACCAGAATCGCCACCCCACCGGTAGCGAGCTAACCGATCGGTTCCGATTCCGACGGACCGGTTTTTCGAACACTAGTCCAATCTTAAAATTTTATTTTTGAAATGGATTTTTGGACCTAATTTTTAAGGACATGTAATCTCTAACATGGAGATCATGAATATAAAAATATTAATTAAATTTTAAAAAATAAAAATAGTAATTTTATGAAGAAATCATTTTGACCATTACTTTCAAATGTTTTTCGATGGACAACCCATTTGCATCCATCTTTAACATGGATGCTTTATAAATGCAATGGAGAAAATGTTGAAATGAGAGACACAATGGGTAAAATAATTTTTGTATATATATATATATA